GGTAATGGCTTGGGCCTATCTTCGGGCCAATCTGCAAACCCAAAGCCCCACTCGCACTCAATTTTCCCCCACTGTGCGAGTGTTGGCCAGCACTCACACACACACTCGCACATAGTCGTACACATTGGTGACACAATTTACACTACATTGACAAGCGCAAACAAGACGGAGGCAAAAACTCGGTGAAGAAAATGTAACGCACTCAATTACTTTTATTGTCTTACACATTGCTCGGCAAATTTTTTTGTTGGGCAACATTAGCCCAGGGGGGTTGGTGTGGTATGGCAGCTACTCCTGATGCCAATCAATCTGTGAAATGCTCTCAGGCAAAAACTTTTGCGAGGCGGCAGAGAATACGCTTTAATGGAATCCTCGCTTCTTATTTGGTCCATACAATTCAGAGAATTTCATTACATCAACGGCAGAAAGCAGCAAACAGCAGCAGCAGAAGCAGCAGCAGCAGCAGCAAAAGCAACGAAAAGGCACAACTTTTCCACAAATACACATACACTCGAAAAAAAGAAAAACATCAAACTTTTTACCAGCGCACATAATTCAAGTTAAAGTTGAAAACGAGGGACCACATGGCGAATGAGTGTTATCCACGTTATTTGACTATTTGCTGCTAATGCATGTCACAGTAGAAGGACAGACAAGGACGTGGACGATGACGGGGACAAGGACTATGACTATGACTATGCCAGGGCTGATGCTGGGGCTAGGATATAGAAAAGGATATGTTGCCGCAGCTGCAGGTGAAGTGAAAGTTGACAACGCGGCGTCAGCAGAAAATTTCACTTTGGCCTCACGTAACTAACACGCGACGCCCACTTACTCCCCGCCCTTTGGTGGTGCTGCCTGCTGCCTGACTGCTGCCTGCCTGCTGCTGTTGTTGCCACTAAAAGCAAATGCCAGGCAAAAAGCACACCAGGCAGGCAGACACTCACACACATACACACACACACATAGCCATAAATAAAATATTGAGCTACATAAATTTAAATTTTTTGCTTTTCGCTTTGCGCTCTCCTAGATTCTCCATCCCCAGGGAAAAGTTAGTCAGCAGAAATCATGACTAGGCAAAGTAGAGCAAGTATAGAGAGCCGAGCAATGGCTGGGCATAGCGTGGAATGCAGTTGGTCAGGCAACAGCTGGCCACTTTGGCAGGCAGCTCTGACAGGTTCCCTTAGACAATTTCCAACTCCAAAGTTTGCCGGCAAATAGTTGCGGACAAAATGATCGGACAATTGAGAGAAGCGCTCACACACACGCAACACACACATTACGAGTGGTAGGGTGAAAATTAATTAGAGCTGCCCCACGATTTCTTGCCAGCTGGTGGAGCAGGTGGTCGGGCCGCTAATTGCGAAATTAATGATCAGACTGCGTGAACTCAAACAATGGCTACAGGGCCAAGCAGAGGCCAGAAGCAGTGGCAGCAGCAATCGGTTCGCTGAATCAGCCAGGGACCAGCCAGAATTGGCAGCAACAATGGGAATGGCCGGAACAGTTGAAAAGTTTTAGTTAAGACCGGAAAAGTTGTAAATGGCAATTAGTCGGCGAGAAAGTTGATATGTCTTGGCATAGTCGAGCACACGTACGAACGGTACGAACTGCTGGCCAGGCCAAGAGGGTAACTGCTCTTTAATATTTATGGAAAGCCAGACCTTGAAGGTGGGGGGGCGTCCACTTGCTGGCTAATCTTAGCCAGGGCCTGGCCTTAATTAACGGAAATTCAATGGCTGGCAAATAAGAAATTTGTTAACATTAAAATTACAACAATGGCCAGATGTCAGAGCCAAGAAAGGGCAAGTCCCTGCTCCAGCACCAGCTCCAGTCCAATTCAAAGTAATTGTGAGTGCCTCTGTATCCCAGGACCAGGACCAAGACCAAGACCAAGACCAGGACGAGGCTAAATCCTTAGAACAAAACGTTGGCAGTACACAAACACACATTCATTTGCACTGAAAGTGATTACAAATGAGGAGCAGCGTGGAATGGTGCCAGGGAATGGGAATATGGGGTGGGGCGGGGGTAAATGGTATTGGTATGGAATGCAATGCAAACAACAACAGCAACAGGAGCTGCGACAGGACGGAGCAGGACAGGAGCAGGAGCAGGACAGGAGCAGCGCGTAAAAGGAAGTGCGCCCTATGCCATGGGCACTAATTACGCCCGGCGAACAAATGGCATCGGGAATGGCAACTGTGGCGACAACGGAAGCTGGAGCTGGAGCTGGCGCAGTCCTGACTTGGTTAACAAAGCGCACGCAACAATAATAGCAAAGAAATGGCAGAAGCTGCCAGAGCAACAGCAACAGCTACAGACCAGGCAACCCAGCTGTAGCAAACAGAAGAAAGATCTCGAATCAAGCTTTAAAAATAAATACATAGTAAAAAAAATATATACAAAACATGATTTAAGAATTTACCATACCACCGGCTGCTGCTTCTGCTGCCGCTGCTGCTGGCATCCGCCGACGTTCCTTGCCAATTTCTGTGCTGCCTCCATAAGCCGGAAACCATAAAAAAGCAATTCGTTATTAAAACTGTATAACAGAGAGGCGAAATCTCGAATGCGAGCAAAAAGCAACGATGGCCTATCGTTGCCCCAGCCAACACGAATTGGAAATGCACTTATCGAGCTGCCTTGCAATGTGTATTTACATACATGTACTTTACATATACACATCTCTAGCTTATCCTCTGTCTCTCTCTCTCTCTCTCTCTCTGTGTGCACTGAATTTACGACAAAGTCGCTCTCTCTGACTTAGCCTTTCGCTGCGCTTCTGCTGCGAGCTTAGCTCTCTCGCGATCAGAAGAAGTTTTGAGAGAGCCAAGACCAAAGCTCTCCGCTAAAAGCTCCGTGCACTGCAGAACGTACCGACATTCTCTCTCTCGGAAGCATGAACTCGACAAAGTCTTTGCAATGTCAATCGGGTGGTGACTGTATTTTTTGTAAATAATCCACTTGGCACTCACAGGCGAGTACGAACGAGTATCACAGCACACATTTGCAGGGGTTTCCATATTCTGCTATAGCCCACGCTACCCACTGCGGAGAAGAAGCAAAACGCTAGCAAAATATAAAGCGGCGAGAGGAGCGAGCGGAGCGGATCGGCGCTGTACAATGCATATTGATAATGCACATAACAGCCATAAGTAACTGGCGTCCTGGCAGACAAACGTGACCCAAGCAGCAGCACAAGAAAATGAAGCAGCCGCCCCGCCGAACAACACATGCGAGTGGGAAAGAGCGCATAGAGTGGGAGCGGGAGCGAGGAGAGTGAGAGGTAGACACAGATAGAGTGGGACAGCAACACAGATGCCGAGCACAGCAAATGACATGCAAATAAATGAGAACAAAGGGATAAACGAATGGCTGGGGCCAGTCGAAGTTGGCATTGCATTTGCCATCGTCCGTCGCATTTCATGGCATGGAATGGCAAACGAGCCGCATAATTTTTGCCGACTGCACTTTGCGGCCAAGGCGCCGGATGCGGGCCGCCCTGCGGAATAAGGACCCACTCCCGCGCCCTTTCCCGCTTGACGGTTGACGGAGGACGGCGCTGTGCTGGTACTCCTGCTTTAATGAAGTATAACGCGACCAAATGAATGGCGTATTAAGAGTACGTCGCCATGCCATTCCTTGGCTGGGCTGGACTGGGCTGGTCTGGGGATTGAAATGTGAGGATAAATCAAGGTGGGGCTTCTGCGGTAATTTGTAAGTCGCGTGGGGACCAACACGATAAGTAGCAGACAATATTTCTCCATTCAAGAATCCCAGCCGAATCCGACCCAATCCGCTGCGACTGCGACTGCGACCCGGATGGACTCCAGACAATAAGCATAAATAACATAAACATGGAATATGAAAGATGGAATGTTCCATGTGGCATGTGGACGGTGGACGGTGGAATGCCAGATGTAATAGACAGTGAGGGCGACTGTATGACAGGGAGGACATCTGTGTATCCCTGGGCTCTCGCTCTCACTGCCAATCTCGCAGTTCCTCTCAGTTTCTCTCCCTCGGCTGTTCTGCTGGTCTGCTGGTCTGCTCTCTGCTCTCTGCTGATTAATGCTTGTTTGTTTGCATGGCCGTGTATCACTAATGGAATTCACATGTTGGGACATGACTGATTATGTACACATTAGTCGACTGATTTGCAATTCCAAGTGTGCCCGTCTCCCGTATCCCGTATCCGTCTATGACTCTGTGTGTGTGTGTGTGTGTGTGTGCGTGTGTGTCAGTCATGATGTCCTGTCGGGGCGCAACTTTTCCACAATGGCTATGGCCTAGAAAACAATGTTGCAAGTTGTATTATGTATGTATGTATGTATGCATGTGCGGGTCTTCATTGGCAAATGTCAGATGGTGTGTGTATTTGGCACGTGTCCTGTCGCCCCACTGTTGAGCAACTGTACCGATGTACCGCTACTGTAAAAGCTGCTGTCATGACTAAGCACATTATAGAGGCTGTTTCCAGCGAGTTGCCGCGCTAATTGGCAGCCGCTTTTGTGCTCGCTGCCGTCTGCCAAAGCAATTTTGCGTGCTCGATAATTTGCTTAAGGCGATACAGATACAGAAACAGATACAAAAGCTCGTGGCAGTTGGTGGCAGGTGGCAGTTGCCACAGGAGCCAGGAGTGCCAGTGACGCACAGGAGCTGGGCTTGTGTTTGTGCATGCGGCACGGCCGTGGGGGTTCGAGGAGCCACTTGCCTCGTGGCAAGTGCAGCTCCTTTTTAAATTGCTTAATAAACATGCACAAAAGGAAAATGCACTAACTGCGGCATTTGTTTAGCTAATTGACTGCACTTAAGAGAGCTCTCCTGAATGCTCTGCAGGCGACGAATATTCAGAATATTCAAAGCACAAAAAACCTCTGCCCAAACAGTTGCCTTGTATTTTGTTGTTTTGTTCGAGGACTGTGTCAGGCCTTTTAAATTTGCAGTGTAATCTTTGCATACGTTAACTAAATTTTAAGTTCATCCCAGCCAGCATGATAGATCCAAGGACCAATACACGGCTTCCACGTAGATCAAGGAGGCTGTCGAGTCGAGTGCACAGTGGCTCAGTGGATGAGTTGCCAGTCGGCCCGACCGATGCCTGTCGCTGCGAACACTGTCCGGTCAAGAATCGCCATAGACGGACCGACGAGGACAATTTGCGATCCGCAGCGATGCTGCGAAAGGTTGAAGCTGCCATCGAGACGAATTTCCAGTATGCCTTGGCTGACCTGGAGGAATTTGTGCGCTTGAAATCTGTATCTGCTGACTTGGAGTGCATTGGCGACAGCCTGAAGGCCTTGTGCCTGTACCGAGACCGTCTCGAGCGGATGAGATTCAACATCTTTGAGTACAATATCAATGCGCCCCGTGCTGTCTGCGACACCTCACCCCATCCAAAGGTCGTGTTCGCCCACTACTTCTCCTCGCCCTCAAAGAACACAATTCTGGTCTACGCGTACCTGGATGTGACCCCGGCCAAGTTTGAGGATGGCTGGCTATCCGAGCCGTTTGAGTTCTACATGAACGACGACATGCTGTACGGGCGCGGAGTTTGCACCGGCAAGGGCATGGCCCTGTGCTGGCTGCAGGCCATCGAGGCCTGGATGGAACAGCACGGCGATCTGCCCATAAATATCAAATTCATTATAGAGATCATGCACACGGTGGGCAGTGTCGGCCTCCAGCACTATATACAGGTGAAAAGGGAGTTCTTTCAGGACGTCGATTGCATTGTGTTTGGCAACAATTCCTGGATAAATGAAATGAAGCCAATGATGAGCTGCAGCCTGACCGGCTGGGCTCACTTCGGCCTGGAGATGCGTGGCGGCACAAAGACCCTGGAAGGGGGCCTGGTGGGGGGGCTCGTGTACGAGCCAATGACGGAGGTGTGCGCGCTGATGAGCAGCCTCGTTGACGATCTGCATGTGCTCCAGATACCCGCGATCCATCACTTGGCTCAGACCCACGGCCGTCACGGAGTGGGACCTGATCGAGTCGGCGATATTCAGTGACTATGCCTACAAGGAGCAGTTCGGAATCAGACGCATCCGGTACGAGCTGACCAAGGCAGAGCTGCTGCACAATCGCTGGTGCCAGGGCACATTGAGCATGCACGGAATCGAGGGCAGTTTCAGCCGGAAGGGCTCCCTCACGCCGATACCCATGTCCGTGATGGCAAAGTTTTCCATGAAACTTCTGCCCGATCAAATGGTGAACCTGGTCCAGAACCATATCGAGGAGTTTCTGCGCACGAAGTACGACGAACTGAAGATGAGAACCAGCTTCAAGCTCCATCTGTTGGATTCGTGCGATCCGGCCCTGTGGGGCATCGATGCCAGATACAACAAGGCCCTCGTTCGATCCATCAGTCGTGTCTACCAGGTGCAGCCAGATCTATCGATGAACATTGTCACTAGCCTGCCGATTGCCAGCACGTTTAAGAAGATTACGGGCAAGCCGATCATTCTGATGCCCTATTCGCAGCGCATGGACTACTCCCACGTGGTCAACGAATCCATTCCCAAGCAGTGCTTCCTTCGCAACATCAAACTCTGCACGGGTCTGATGCACGAGCTGTCGCTGCTGCCCACACGCTGCAAGTGCGATGTCGCCTTCGACTACTGCAACCGGCGGGGCATAGCCGAGATGCTGAAACCGGCCACAGAGAAGTCGACGCATAAGCCCACTATATTTTCACGTCTCAGAAAGCACAGATCGGTGAAGCCGCGCGACCAGCCACCAGAACCTCAGCTGGAACCTCAGCGGAAAAGGTTAAGGGATTGGCTCTGTGCTCCTTTCAGGCGCTATCGGATGAACAAAAACAAATTCTCCCCAAAGTAAATTGTGTCTACTGGGGATTCTTGCTAAATTATTTCATATATAAACTGTCTGGAACCGATTTTTGATCACTATCCGTGATGTCCGTTTGCTGTGCAAAAAACAACTAAAAAGGTTTCGAAATTATAAATATTTTGCCTGCTGCCAATACAATCTGGTCTACTCGTTAAGATATTTTTTAGTCGCCTGGCTTAGATCCAGATTTTGGTGCAGCAAATGCCACTGCAAATGCAAAGCTATACAAAGCGTGACTTGAGCTTCCTGTGGCGTCGCTTCCGGTTTAATTGAGCATGTAACGAGCAGAGCTTTAGCATGCACACACACACACACACACACACACACAGCAGACAGACAGTCACACAGATATGCACCACATAACGGGTGAACGGGGGGAACAGGACACCGAAGCTGTGGCAAGGTGGCATCCCCACAATAATCTCCATTTTCCGAAAACATATCACTCTGCGTGTGTGTGTGTGGTGTGTGTTTGTGTGTGTGGGAGGGGGGGTGAAGAGTTATTGTATATGTTTTGTCTATGTTTATGTTTGCTGCCACAAGTATGTATGTTCATGCCGCCTGCCGGCCAGGACACGCACGCAGTTTGTGTTTGGCCAGGGCCAACATTGGGGCTGTGGGTGGCGCTGCTGCTGCAACTGCCACTGGCACAGTCAGCTAATTGCCAACCCACATTGCGAGTGCCACCCCAATTCTAATCCCCGCAAAGCAACAAAAAAAAAAAAGAAAGAGCCAAATGGCAACCGTGTGCCCCGTTTTACGTTTTCTCCTTTGCAAAGCGGAAATCAATCAATTTCCTGCGTAGACTCTGCCTTTTGATTGGGTTTTTTTTTTTGCTCTCACCGGGTGGCACCTTTTGTCCAGAACTGCCAAAAAGAAGTGTATTGAATAGTAGCCGAGCAGGTGAATGCGGGCATTGATTATGCTGCAAGCGGACGAGTGGGTGTGGGTGTGGGCGTTAAATTGTTATACATATAATTTAATTAAAAATCTCCACCGCATTGGGTGGAATGTAGAATGCGGCAGCGTCGTTTAGGGGCATTCGTTTTTCCACGAATATTCATTAGAGAGGTAGAATATTGCTGAGCACAGGCATATTTATGGCACAGAAGCCCGAAAGTTTTAACTCACTCACGTCCAACTGCAACATGATTTATTTTCTTGCTCTAATTAGGTTGTGCCTCGTAAAATACGGAAACGATAATGGGAAACCGTCGGGTGCACTGGTTCGTTATTAGTTCATTATTATTAATAACAAATAACAGCTGGAAAAAATACACAGGCTTATGTACGATACTCTTGGATCCCCGATCCTGGGCTTTATTAAGAACAAATAACAGCTGGAAGAAATACACAGGCTTATGTAGGATCCGCTTGGATCGCCGTTACTTCATGGTTGATTATAGTTTCGACTGCCGCCGGGCATTCCTGGGCTTCCATTGCCGCCTCCGCCTCCACCACCACCACCTCCTCCTCCACCTTTGCCGCCATGCCCGCCATTTCCAGCCCCTCCATAACCTCCTTTGCCACCATATCTGCTCCCCACAGTGCCACCACAGCAAGGACAACGAGATCGGAAAGGAGCAGCTGGCCTTCCATTTCTTCCAGTCACCGATACAGATCCAAATGCAGATTTCTGATCAGATCTTGTAGAACCACTGAAGACGCTTACTTCTGTGGCACTTCTCTGAGCAATCGTCGGGCCAAGAGCACCAGCACCTGCATCATCACTTCGCTTGGCCTGGCCTAAAGCACACAGAACTTGGCGTTAATGTTGAATATTCAAGGGATCGGGAGTCCCACTTTACCTCCATCCAGCCAGAGCAGACAGCAAACTAATGCAAAGAAGACGTACAGAGTCCGCATCTCGGGAGCACACTAATCCGTCCAGCGGCGTGACAATCGAATTATATCGTGGAGAATGAACTTCGCTTGGAGTCTCTCTCTCTCTCTCTCTCTGTCTGTCTGTCTCTCTTGTCACAATTGAGCGGCACCCCGAGCCGAAACCCACCACACCTGCGGGCATAACACTCACCTTATTCTGATAGAGCACCTCAACGGCCAGAAATCCGATCAGCCCCAATGTCAGTACAAGCAGCATGATATAGAGCTTGGACTGGACGCACAGCAGGCTGGAGTAGATGAAGCCGAGCACAAAGCCGATCGACTCGAACAGGCGATAGTTGGAGAAGGCGGCCTCCTTGTGACGTCGAAAGAGGAGGCCGTAGAAGGCCTGGATCTGGGTGACCCAAGCGGCATCGCTGATGCCCCAGAGACCGGCCAGGGCATAGAAGATAACGGGATGTTCCGGAACGGGGCGATAGTGCAGCTTGAATCCAATTACGACGACGTTCAAGGAGGCACCTATAAATATAATCATCGAACGGCCGATGTACTGCATTGATATGCCGAATATAAAGCAGAATAAGGAGTCCATGACGCCCCAAGTTATCATCACGTAGCCGATCATGTTGACGCCGAGGGCACAGGCCACAAAGCTCTGCGTGTACTCCGCCGCTATCCAGGCCTGCTCCAGCCCAATGAAGATGGTCAGTGGGATGAGCATCTGCTGATTGGTGCGCTTCAGTTGGCGGACTGTTGCCAGCAGATTTCTCATGACAGTGCTTTCCTTCGCATGGGAACCCTTGCGCCCCTCGCCATAGCGAGTGAGCGGATCCAAGAAGAAAACTACCATCAGGATGGCAATCACCACGCACGGCACATAGATCATGATCAGCATTAAGATGTCTTTGGCCAACGGCTGTGGAATATCCTGGGCATGGTAACTGCAGTAGTTGTGGCCGCAGCAGCTGTAGTCAATCTGGGAATTGTTCCCTATCGGTTCCTCCTCGGGCGCCTGCAGTGCTGTGGATGCAGGATGCAGGATGCAGGCTTTAGGTGGCGACGTATCCCAGCCCAGCCAAGACGCAGACAGATGACCAGATGACCAGCAAATGTTTCCGCCGACAGTCGTGAGAATATGTTTGTGTGTTTGTATTGTGTGGACCGAGTGAAGACCTTACCTTACCTAAACTTACCTTAACTTACCTTCACTTACCTGACTCACTTTCGACTGAAGGGTCCTAGACAGAGTATCCACTTGACTCATCTTAAGGGGCGGACTCCATCCAGGGATTTTTGGATTTCTATGGAAACTTCTACGGGGCTGCTTCCCCAGTATTCGACTTTCCCCCAGTTGATGTATTGACAGCGCAGCTATAAAATATTTGCTTACTCTCGTTTTGAAATATATTTCATGGCACTGCACATCACAGTCTTAATAATAAATACTAAAAAGCCATGATGAGCTGCCCAAGCACACACACAAAAGCCATCAAAGCCGCCGTTCCCATAGCCAAGGCTCACTCCTCTTCTCTCCTGAAGCTGAAGCTTGAGCTGACACTGGGAAGGGGACGGGGACGGGTCGGTCTCTGGAGCTGACGTTGACGAGCTGCTGTGCCGTGCATTCCCAATGGATTTGCTCGTGCGTGTCGACAAGAATTTCAATTTGCAAACAATAAATTTGAGCAGCCAGTCGCTCCTTGGAGGAAAGCGGCGAACAAAAATACAACAACAACAAAAAATAGAAGCAAGGAAAAAGGCGACTCCAAGCTATGTTTAATAAAGAAGAAATATTTTGCTTTTCACTTTGGCTTCGTGTTGCAAGTGACAGCTCCCCGCTGATGCTGACGCTGACGCTGATGCTGATGCTGACGCTGATGCTGACGGTGTTGCTGTTTCTGTTGACAATTCCCGCAGTCTGTTTCAAGCTTGACAAATAGAATTAGATGCCGAATTAGGAATAAACATCTTCAATTTGATTTCAAATGTGGCAGGTTGGCAGTCTGGCAGGCTGGCAGGCTGGCTGACTGCGAGCTTTAAGCGGCCATCGGCCATCGCACTTCTGGTCCAGGCAGACGACGCAAACGGAAACGCAAAACAAAAACGGAAATGAATCAATTTCCGTGTTGCAAGCCATTAAAAACTACAAAGGCAGTCGAAAGAGCAAGCTGAAATAAAGTAACACAACAAACGAATATGAAGATGGAGGCTGAAGGCTGAAGGCTGGAGAGTCTGCAGGCTGGAGGCTGGAGTCTGGAGCTGAAGCAGAGCTACAAAATTGTTCCATATAGCAAGGCTAATGGAAAGAAGAGTCTCTACAATTTAATGCATATTTTTATTTATATCAAAGAGGCATTCGCTTGGAATTGGAAAAGACTGTGGCTGTGGTATCCTTTTAATGGAGTCCCCTTCGTTGCGCTAAGGCAGAAATACACTTATCCAATGCCTCGGGTCCAGGGCACTTTTCACCATCGCAAATAAGTCAGAGTCCTTGTCAGTCTCATTAGATGACTCATTAGGTGAGTTCAACATGTTCATGTAGATTGTAAAAATCACATAAATGAAACCAAATTCAATTACTAAAAGGGAACATTCAATGAGGGAATATATCTTCAATATACACAGACAGATTACCCATGGTCAGCAGGGAGATAATGATGTTGGTCAGAGCCTCAATGGCATCGCCCGCACACAGCTCGAAGAGCCACCAAAGCACAAAGAAAAGATCCAAGAATAAGCCACCAACGCACCAAATCAGCCAGCATATCATCAATTCTGGCTTGTGCTGTGAATGGAGGAGTGATGGATGGATATGCCTAGTTGAAGATATGCAGGATTGCCCACCAATGAGATGCCTGCTATCATGAGCAATGTCACCACAATCCAGACATTCAATAGAACCAAATACGCCCAGAATATCCAAGTCTTTGTGGACTCCTTCAAGTATCTGTGCCCCAATAAACCTACAAGTGAGCAGCAGGGAATAGGCACATGGCTTACAGGGCTTAGTTGCCATTTACTTACCTGTCAGCTTCCGCCTGTGTGGCTTAGCGGCGGCTCCTTCAGCCGGTGGCGCCTCGGCATCGTTTGGAGCCTCTCGCGTGGAGCGGCGACGCAGCAAGTAGAAGATCATCAACTCGAAGAGCAGAACTCCCAGAATGTCCATCCAGCCAATGGCCAGCCCAAAGGCATTCAAGGCATTCACCATACTGCTATTATCTCTCTGTTCGTCTCCGTCTCCGACACCGACTCCTGTCTCTCTGTATTTCACTCTCTATGTTTCTACGGCTGCTGCCTGTTGACAAAAAACTGAAACTGGAAGTGAAATGTTTAAAAAGGTTTTTGTAGCACCCTGGGGGGGGTGCTGAGCTCTGGCGGCTGGCACGTGTGGCGGCGGCCCCATCACTTCCTTAAACCGAGTTGCAAATGAGCGCGAAAAAAGTAAATTATATTTGTCAACGGGGATTCTCTCGCACTCAGCAAGAGTAATGGATGTGTGTGCGTGCGTGTGTGTGTAGCCGACGCACGTATTTCATCAGCATGGCATTATGTATATATGTATATATATACGTACATATAATGTATATGGTGTGTCTCAGTTTTTTGCCTTGCATAAATAGATGGGACAACCTCGACAGCCAAGTCAGGCCCCGAGCAAGACCGAGACTTGGCTGCTGTTTCCGTTTCCGTTTTGATACCCTAGCGCAGAGGGTATGTGTAGCTGGGCGATCAAACCTACTTTCCATGGATTGTCAAAATGTTCGATTCTGCTGTTGCTCTTGCTGTTGCTTTCTCCAAGTATGCTCAAGCCTGAGAGAACATTACTGCTTTGGGCCTATGTGATTGCCATATTCGACCTGCTCTGCGCCACTCTGTTTGCCGGACTCTGTCTTGGCACGATCTTTGAGCATGTAAGACCTTTGTCGCCACACATGGGCCGTGCCTACATATATACGAGTATTCTAAGCGGAAACCCTTCTCACAGCTAAGTTGGCTTACCATATTTGCAGTTATATTTGGCATCTTCTGGATCTCAATGATATTCGTGCTCTTCATTGGCATTTATGCGGTACGCTAGTACGCCCAGTGGGATAATACATTAATCCCAATTAGGTGGCCGTCTTTCCTCCATACTCGTTTAATTACAGCGCAATCCCAGATGCCTACGTGCCTGGATCCTCTTCTCCATGGGTGGCATCCTGCTGGAAATGTGTCTGCTCCTGTACGCCGTTTTCAGCCAGAGCAAATTCCAAATTGGGCTGGTCAAAAATAGCCTGTTTCTCGTATCGGGATTGAGTGAGTATTAGGTACATATTTCTAATCATTTCTGCATGTTTTTCCCTCCACCCTTAACCCCCTGGGCAGTTGTGGAACTTATTTTCCTGTACACCATCTGTCAGTTCTACAAGGCTCTGGCGCGCTGTAAAGTATGCCATCGACCCCTGGAAACCAGAAGCAATCCGCGATAATCGAATTCCCCTTGGTTTAATTACAGTTGATTTAATGCTTAAGTTATTGTTTATTTGTATATTGGTTGCACCTTCTTAGGGTGTCTGAAGCTTCGATTCTGTACAAGTGAATGTCTTTTTCTTGATTTTTGCTTCCTTGCTGCTGCGCAAATTATTTTAAAAGGATTTTGTGTTCAACATTGGCGCACGCACACACGTAGGTCTGTAGGTGTATCTGGCTGGTATACCCAGTGTGAGTGGGTCCTTAATATTTAAACTTAAAGAGCTTTTATCTAGACAAAATTCTGCCAAGATGCAAAGTTTATTTTGAAATATATATGTGGGAATTATCAGCTTAATTTCTAAGAAATGCTAAGAAGCTGATCCTAGCCCAATCCATGACGCAGCCTCTTTTCCATATCCTTGAGTATAGCTTTGTCCCGCAGCCTGCGCTCTTTGGCAAGCCTTTTGTGACGCCTGTACTCGTACTGCGCCTCCTTTTCTCTAAGCTGTCTGTCGTTATACATGACCGGCTGCACATCAGCTCCTCCTTTGGCCCTTGGCTCCTCGGGCTGTGAATTGCGAGTTCCAGTCATTTCCAGATACAAGAGATGTATGATATAGACAAATGTCATTTCCACAGCTGCAAAGAGACATAAAGAATGGTCATAAGATGCAGAAGCAGAAGAACTCACCCAAGCCCACAAAGGGCAGAACTGTGACTTTCACGCCCTCCCAGTTCACGGCAATGGCTAAGGTCAGGCCATAAATCAGAATAATGCCATCCAGAAAAATGCCCAGACAGGTGAACGCCAACCAGCAACGAATCAAAGTCAACTGGCGCTTGTAGATGCCCAGCACCAGCACGATAATTATGAGGATCCAAAATATAGTAAATATCAATGCAACCAGAGAGGTCCAATGGCTCTGCAGATATCAAAAGTTCACCGCAAATTCAAAGAGGCTGTAGGCAAAATCCTCTTACGTTCTTTGCATAGAGCATCCCAGATACAACGGCGAAGAGCACGGCGGAGACCAAATCAAGCAGTGCAATGGCATAGGCGCACAGCACTAAATATCCATCAGAATTCGACGACGACGACCCCATCTCGCCCAGCCAAAGTTCATCAGAGCACTGCCAATGTTGTCTACTAAATCAAAGCTATAATGATGATAAGCACGTACTTTCCAAGGGTCGGATCGGGCGGGCAGGCAACACAACAGAACCAGTCAGAAGGCAACCAGAACCAGAGCCGCCTTGCCCTGACTGTTAATCAATGCCGTTTGATTGCCAGAAGTCCTCGGCCTGGCCGCCTGGCACAGTGGTCTCAAAGTGTTGGACTGGTAGCCAAAGTCCCCCCCTTACCGCTCATAACGCACTCATTTTCCTTCTTGTAATTATCTTTATGGTTCCCCATCTCATAAAGAATAATCTTCTTTGCCCCACGTATGATTACACAGCTGTACAAAAAATAATGCTGGGATTCTAGGAATCCCAAAACAATCAATACCAATGTGATTTGACTCCGCCCATCGCCCCCACAGACTATGTGACAAGTTTGTGTGAACATCTGTCCGTCCTCCGTCCGTCCTTCATTTATGGCATTTGTTTTGTCAGCAAGCCTTGGAGATTGGATTCCTGCCCCCATTGGGATTGGTATTAGAGAGAGGGGGCGGAAGGGAGAGGGCAACGTGACTAGCAGCTTGAAGACAGGCGAACAGGCCAAAAAAAAAAATACATACATATGTATGTATGTATGTATAGAAAACTACACAAGTCAATTATTATTATTATTATTATTATTATTGTTTTGTGGGAGCCGAAGAAGAGAATTGATTTCACCCTCCTCCCACTTGTCCAGTAAATGGAAACCCAACCAATTATATTTTTCACCTGGTATTCCTGTTTTATATATAAAAGATATACATATATGTTTATTCGTCCCTATATGCCTGCTCTTCTACTTGGTTGCTACTTCCTTCCAGTAGTTTTCGTATCTGTAGCTGGATATGGTGACGTTTCGCTGCACAAATCCGGAGTAGCGCTTCTAGCAGCGCCTCTACGACTTTTGGGGTCGCAGAGCACTTGGAGGCTGTTCAATCTTCGATAATAACTGTAAACCAAATACAGACAAGTGCACTCGACAACTGCAATGGATACGGGGATACTCCATAATTACTCTTTATTGGCATTATTTGTATACCTATTCCAAAATACAGGATGGTCCACCGAACGAAATGCAGCCAGTCAAAGGTAAGGGACGATGTCACACTCCAGACCAGATACACAATGTCCGTGAGAGTGCCGATGCCCGAGAAGAAAAGCCAAAATATACAAAGCATCGGTCGGCCCTTGAGTGGGTTGGGTTGGTGAGTGATCAAATCGGAACAGCAAGGAATCTTGTGCAACATTTACCTGCCATAGACCCACAGTGAGGGCGACAACAGTCAGAAACCAAACGATGGTGCCCAGGAAAGCCATTTGGGTGTATAGATTCGTCTGGATATGGGAGCCAGATTAGAAGGGTAGGATCAGGGGGGCAGAGTTCACATTGTGACTGACACTTACATACGCTATCAATAGAGTAGTGGTATCCACCAGAAAGTACAGCGAATGGAACAATTCAAATGCGTCAATCGCGTAGCAAACTATCAGTAGATAATCTGTGCTCTGCTCCGGCGACTTTTCTCTGCGCTTTTCTTTCATTTTTTGTCTTTCAGTGCGAAATGTTGTATACAAAATAGAAATATATTTTATTTGGCATTGAAACACAAGGCCAACCAGCCAACCAACCAGGCAAGTACAGTGGGAAATAATGACAAAATAAAATCAAGCAACGAATCATTTCTTCCCTTTCTTTTTTGCTGCTGCCTTCTTCTTGTCCTCCGCTGTCTTCTTGTCCTGCGCCTTCTTCTTTTCCTTTGCTTTCTTCTCCTGTGCCTTCTTCTTGTCATCCGGTTTCTTCTTTTCACTTCCACTCTTCTTCCTGTCGGTGCTTTTGTTACTTTTGTTACTGCCCCCCGACTTACAACCTGTTCATGTGATTGAGATAATGAAACTTATTACAGAAGAAGTTATTTGCATTTCTTACATCCCGTTTCAGCTCCCTTCGACACCGCACTACCCTCCATTTGCAAGTAATATCGATATATAAAATATATGCATGTAAATTCCACAACTGAAAATGGATTCAACGTTAGCCACAGATCACAGAAAGTGCTCGAAAATCCACTTACGTATGCCAATAAATATGATTGTGAACTCCTGCAGGTGATCCCAGTCCACGGTTATGGAACTGGTTATGCCCCATATCAGAAATAAGATGTCCATAACGAAACCCACTGCAGAAAACAGTATCCACGCCCGGACAAACGGTGGACGACGCTGTGGAACATATGAATTGAAATTATCCAATCCCAGAAATGGTCCTAAAAATTATACAAACCTTCCACAGGCCCACAAGCAGAATGATGACAACCAGAACCCAGAATATAGTGCCGGTCAGGGCCAAGCTTGAAATGAGGTGAAACTATGGAATGGGAGAATCTTTAAGAACGAATAAGGGCTACCAAATGGATGCCAAACACTCACGCGCACCACCAGCAGAATTGTGGCCTGCACTGCAAAGTACAGGGCATGTATCAGATCGCTTATGGCTATGAAATAGCATATTTTCAGCAGATTCTTTTCAATAGCCGCTATGAGCGGACTGCTGGGCAGTTTCTTTTTGTTTTTCTTACTGCTGCTTTCTTTTTTCTTTGGTTCTTTTTTCGGGGGTGGCTTCTTGGGTTTCTTTTTGTCTGTGGCCATGATTTACGTAAAAAACAAAATCGTTTTTACGTCTGACGATCATTTTAACAAAGCACCTGAGATTCTAAAGCTAACATTAAAATTAGTTTCAAAACAGCGCAACGGTCTTGAAAATTTGAATCTTTAGCGGCTTTTAAACTGTAATCAGCTGTGCTCCCATTAGGTGGCAGCTCCTTCACGTGAAATATGTATATCGAACCTAGAGCTCATATTTTAAACGCAAAAATGAGTCCGGAGAGCGTAAATTGCACTCATTCAACTCGACAATTATGAGAGGCTCTACCAGGACTGGCTGTACCACAACAGCCGGCCAATTCAAACTCAAATTATTACTCAGACATATGTATGTGAAACACATATAGACAGTTCCCGTGAGTATGAGCATGCGGAGGCATGGATGTTTTCAGGGAACGATTGATAGTTGAGCCATCGATAGTTTTAAAAGTTTTGAAAAAAAAACAATCGATACTATCGTAATAGTGTCGGGCTCAAAATTTTCCGCAGATGCTCTTCTTCTTCCTTTTTGCGGAAAATATTTTTGTCTTCTCCTTCCTATTTGCGGAAAATTTATCTTCTTCTATTTTGCCTACTTTTGTTTTTAGGGCTGCCAGATCGGTTCAAAGCGAATCGGTAATGAAACGGGTAGCAAAATATCATGGTGGCAGCCCGCAACTACGAATTGTACGAGTCTGGCAACGTCACATTCGTTTAATGTTGTTTTCGTTTGAACCCTTTTATGTACACAATGCAATAAAAAGGACTTCTGAAAACTTGCCAATCTTGTAGAAAATTTATGTATCTATCGGATAAAATTATTTGTTTAGGGCTGAGACTCCCAGCTAGCTAGTAATGCTAAACGGAATATCAAAATCGAGGAATATCAACGTTGAATGTTTTTGGAAAAAAATTAGGAATATGATTTTCCTCGGTATATTTACGGTATATTATGACAACGAGTAGGTATATTTCGGTATATTTTTGAGGGCCATCACATGTTGATATTATTTACTAAAAATTCCCCATTTATTTAGTTTTTTACTTAATTAAACAATCTAACGTCAACATGCCCATCTTGGTAAAAACGTGAGTACCCTAGAACTAGTCTTTCCTAAGTATATACAGTTAAGATTAAGAAAATGCGTATGAAAAAAGAGCAGACACAACAAAGAAGCGGCACAGCACACAATGCCGCAGAGTTGTCACCCTTCTTCATTGTCAGCCCAGTTTGGCAGTCGCAGTGTCGGCTTCTTGTGAAATTATTCAATTTTTTTTAAATGGGTCCGCCAAAAAAGTCCAAGAAGGATCGCAGTGGTGCCGACAAGTCAAGTGAGTACGAGACACAACGAAGATTGTACAATTTCGGTATATTTATGCGAAATTCACAGGCAAGAAGCGCCGCGCTGAGGATGAAGCCTTCACTCAGCTGGTGGAGGACAACGATAGCCAGGATGCCACTGAGTCGGACGGTATACCGGGTGCAGCATCCAAGAATGCCGAGACCAATGATGAACAGGTCAACACGGATGAGTACGGCGCCAAGGACTATCGGGGACAGATGCAGCTGCGTCCGGATCACAACAATCGCCCGCTGTGGGTGGCTCCCAATGGCCATGTGTTCCTGGAGTCCTTCTCGCCGGTGTACAAGCATGCCCATGACTTTCTCATTGCCATCTCTGAACCAGTTTGCCGGCCCGAGCACATTCACGAGTACAAATTGACTGCGTACAGTTTATATGCCGCTGTGTCGGTGGGCCTGCAAACGCATGACATTGTGGAGTATCTGAAACGCCTGAGCAAGACAAGTATTCCTGAGGGCATCCTCGAGTTTATTCGTCTATGTACGCTTTCCTACGGCAAGGTGAAGCTGGTGCTGAAGCACAACAAGTATTTCATTGAGTCGCCGCACCCGGAGGTGCTACAGAAGCTGCTCAAGGATCCGGTTATACAAAAGTGTCGGCTTATACGCAGCGAAGGCGAGGGCTTTATTCAGGGCACAGTGGATAGCAAGGCGATCACTCAGTTCGGAACAAAACTACCACCTGGAGCGGACGATAAACCAACAGAGGATCCGGCAAGCTCAGCGGCTGCTGCTGCTAGCGGGGCACCACCGGCTGAAGGTGCACCAGTTGTGCCCGACGACATTACCGACTTCTACGAGAAGATCGACAAGGAGGAGGAGGACGAGGATGAGGCGAATCTGAAAACAGTCTCGTTCGAGGTGGCCCAGGAGAAAATTGAAGTTATCCAGAAGCGCTGCATTGAGATAGAGCATCCCCTGCTGGCTGAATATGATTTCCGCAATGATACCAACAATCCAGACATAAACATTGACTTGAAGCCCGCTGCCGTCCTGCGTCCCTACCAGGAAAAGAGTCTGCGCAAGATGTTTGGCAACGGACGAGCCCGTTCGGGAGTTATCGTCTTGCCTTGTGGTGCCGGAAAATCGCTGGTGGGTGTCACAGCCTGCTGCACAGTTCGCAAGCGAGCCCTGATACTGTGCAACAGTGGCGTATCAGTGGAGCAGTGGAAGCAACAGTTTAAGATGTGGTCCACAGCAGATGACAGCATGATTTGTCGCTTCACCTCAGAGGCAAAGGACAAGCCCATGGGATGTGGCATTTTGGTGACCACATATTCCATGATCACACACACACAGAAGCGCTCCTGGGAGGCAGAGCAGACAATGCGCTGGCTGCAGGAACAGGAATGGGGCATTATGGTGCTGGATGAGGTGCACACCATTCCAGCCAAGATGTTCCGTCGTGTGCTGACCATTGTCCAGTCCCATTGCAAGCTGGGCTTGACTGCCACCCTGCTTCGCGAGGATGACAAGATTGCCGATCTGAACTTCCTCATTGGGCCCAAGCTGTACGAGGCCAACTGGTTGGAGCTACAGAAAAAGGGCTATATTGCTCGTGTCCAGTGCGCCGAGGTCTGGTGCCCCATGTCGCCGGAGTTCTATCGCGAGTATCTGACCACAAAAACCTCCAAGAAGATGCTGCTGTATGTGATGAATCCATCCAAGTTCCGCAGCTGTCAGTTCCTCATAAAATACCACGAGCAAAGAGGCGACAAGACCATTGTCTTCTCTGACAATGTATTTGCTCTCAAGCACTATGCCATCAAGATGAACAAGCCCTTCATCTATGGACCGACCTCGCAGAACGAGCGCATCCAGATTCTGCAGAACTTTAAATTCAATTCCAAGGTCTGTTATATTGTGGGATTCCGAGAATTGTTAAATCTGAGTTAAATGTCTTCCGGCAGGTCAACACAATCTTCGTGTCGAAGGTGGCCGACACCAGTTTTGATTTGCCCGAGGCCAATGTACTTGTCCAAATCTCCTCGCATGGTGGTTCCCGCCGTCAGGAGGCTCAGCGTTTGGGTCGTATTCTTCGTGCCAAAAAGGGCGCCATTGCCGAGGAATACAACGCCTTCTTTTACACACTCGTCTCGCAGGACACCATGGAGATGAGCTACTCCCGGAAGCGTCAACGTTTCCTTGTCAATCAGGGCTACAGCTATAAGGTTATTACACATCTCAAGGGCATGGACACGGACACGAACTTGATGTACGGCCTGCAAGAGGAGCAGGCGCAGCTTTTGCAGTTGGTCCTCTCGGCCTCCGACTTGGACTGCGAGGATGAGAGGCTGCCGGGCGAGCCGGGCTACCGTCCGGGCGGCACCACCAAACGGGCCGGTGGCCTAAGCTCCATGTCAGGCGGCGACGATGCCATTTACTACGAGCATCGTCGCAAGAATGTCGGCAGTGTTCATCCTTTGTTCAAGAAGTTCCGAGGATAGAATAGGATAGAATATTTTCAACTGCTTTGTAAAGCCTAAATACAATTCTAAGCAACCACAAACGTTGTTTCCTTTGATATCTTTCGGGTTATTTAACATAACTTATGTAACGTATCGCATTAACCATTGAAATGTTGTTTCTTTTTAGACAAAGTTCTGGCACTGGCGATTGGGCGATCATTGAGCTGCAGGGCGATCTGGAAGTAAGAAGTAATCAGGATATGCATGACCAGTTCATTGGCGATCTCTACTATAACAAGTATGGTCAACCGGTGCGTACCGTAGCAGACTTTACGAGGCTTCCAAATGATTGCCTCATACTCAAATAAAATTGCAGATTCTCATCATAGGCCACCACATACTGCAAGGACGCGAACAGAAGCTGGAGAAGCCATTCGCAGTGCTGGAAAAATCGAAATCCAACGAGGGACAGCGCCTCCTGGACACCAGCATGGCCACGCAAGATGTCAGCCTATTAAATGCCACTACTGGGGCAGAGCGAACCGTCCTGGATGACACCATTGCCCAGGAGCACAAGAGTCGCCAGCGTACAGAGTATACAGTGCGGGCCGTGTGCACCAAAAAGCTGATCTTCAAGTCACGACCCAAGCCCATTATAGCCAATGTGGCCAAGACTGTTTGAGTGCCTAATAGATACATTTATTTGTCCTTTATGATTATAAGATTTCATAGTTATGCTAAGTCTCTCTCTATTAAACGATTTCCATTTCACGTTCGATGCCAACAAATTTCAATTGCTCTGTGGGTCCGTATCTGTAGTCAAAGAAGAGCTCCTCGCCAGGCTGAATGGCACGCTTGGCAAAGATGCCAATGCGATGATCGCCGGTGACCATCATTACCTTGGCATAGCAATTGGGATTGATGGAATGATTGGCGAAGCGTATTTTGTTGCCCTTGCGCGTGGCGTCCACAACAAAGTCGTTGTTCAGATTGAAGAGGAACGAGCACATATACTTGTCATAGACCTTGCCACGACGATCCGCCTCGTCTTGGGAGATGATTTCGCCGCAATACTCGGAAATGAATTCATTTTTCTGTGCGCCCTCTTTGAGAAAGATGCCCCAACCAGCAATGTCCGAGGGGGCCATCAGCAAGTGTTTGTCTAAAGGAAGGAGAAAGTGTACCATGTTGGAGATGCCAGAAAAGACTTTAAAATAAATACACTTACGCAGGCCGCGCTGCACGCACACATTTTTGCACGTGATCTTCTGCAGCTTGAATTCGTTGGCGCCGCATGCATTACACAGATCCGGATCACACTCGCGGACAGCCAGATAGCAGGGGCACTGCTTGGTGTTGCACTGAGCCTTGCAGCGGCAGCCAGGGAAACGATTCTGGCATTCGGTGGTGCAGTTGCAGAACTTCTCACAAAAGTTCTGCGTCTGTATGCACGAGCAGTTTACGTCGCAGGGACCTGCGTGGTCGCAGGGCGTATAGTTGTATACGTGATTCGACGAGGAGTCCTTCTTCAGTTGAATCTTTCGACAATGCAGGGACCACAGACGTTGCTTCTTCTTCTTCTTGCGAGGCGGTGTATAGTCCAGCAGCAAATCGTCAATGCTGAACTCCGCGTCGTCCTTCTGGGCAAACTCATACACCTGACGACAGGTCTTGGTGAGCATATTGTGGGCAATGGCGCAATAGTTCCTCAAATACACTTTATGCAGCACACGAAATAGGGCTTGATCGGCCCCCGTCCAGACGTCCTTCGTGCTGCCAATGTCCAGCATATCAGCTGCGCGAGCGAGGAGATGGTCGTCAATTGATTTGGGGGGACACACAATGTATATAACTGAGTGAAAACCTACCCATAATGGTATTTATCTCTTCGACGGCAGCGCCGTTAACAGTAAGGGCATTATCCTTGGTATTCTCATTGCTGAAATCCTTGCTGCTGAACTGGCTGTTGCTGTCATTGCTGTCCTCAGAGCTGGCCTCATTGCACGAGTCAATCGGAGGCGTTTTGCTGTCCGCCGCCAGTTTCTCCTTCATGCCATCCTGAGAGGAGTCAATCGTCAGTCAATAATATTACTATAATTATATGTATGGCAAATATCGAAGGAAACTTACGATCAGCATATAGCAGGAGTTGCTGCACGGATCGGCAAATGTTTTCATCTCTTCAAAGACGCGCTTCTGCAGATTGGGACCCGCATGGTTTTGCAAACCTGTCGAAAGAGATCCATAACGATTAGTACGACCTTCATCAAATCCCCGCACTCATTACAACATGTCCATGAAACGCTTTTTGGAGTTAGCATGAGGGTAATCGTTATTTTTGGTTCGAAAGAGAGACAGAGAGAGAGATAGAAAAATGTTCAAGGCAAAGCCACACAGGTATGAGGTGAGAAGACACCAAGAAATCAATTTTGATACAAGACATATTTGGCCAATTGTTCCACAGAAACATATACACATACATTCATATACATATGTATGCAGATATATATATATATATATATATATAGACAGATAGATGATGATGTGGAGGCGTGGACGAGCTAACGGCATGAGTGTGTGTGCGTGTGGTTATCGAAACAACAACTACAACAACGACTCACCCTGGACATGGTGACCTAAATTGCAATTTTGTTTTCAGTACAATTTTACAAAAATGTAGTATATATATAAATTTTTTTTTTTGTGTTTTGGGAATAGAATGTTTTTTGGTTTTTTTTTTTGCAAAAACATTGTTGTTGTTTTTTGCAAAAAGGAAAAGAAATAGCAAAAACAAAACGTAAAGTCATTAAGTAACCCAGTTGAAAGCCGGTTTCCAGGGTTTAACTTACGATGGAGGAAACAATCGTATTTGAAGCAACGCCGACAGAAGAGCGTGTGGAACGAGTGCATGGTGCGCTCCCGGGAAACACTCTCCGCCTTCATGCCATCAATGTTCGGTGTGCACTCCTGTGGACGCTCTGGATCCTGGTGCTCGGTGAGCTCAATGTACCTGTTAAAGATTTTTAATTGTAGTCGTGTCATATTCAGACTCAGACCAGTCGCACTCACTTCTCCTTCAGTTCCTGTGCCGTACCCTTGTCTGGAAAATTGGCGCTGATTGCCTGAAATATAATTGGAGCTGGAAAGGGAAGCTTTTCCTTCACCTCCTCCACGGCGGGCTTAACGTCCCCAGCAGGCTCAGCTCCCTGTGGCTCTTCCTTCTTTTCGTTGGCCGGTGCCTCTTCTTTCCCATCGCCTTCAACCTCCACTTTCATCTCCGCACCGTCCCCCACGTCTGCTTCCTTGGGCTTTACCGCTGTCTCGGCTTTTACCGAAGTGCTTGGAGCGGGCTCCTCCAACTCCTTGCTGTGGGAGCGCATCAGCGCATGCACCAGCTCGACAAAGATGGCATCGTCCATGAAGGAGGGATCTTTGTCGCCATGCACTTTGCCGTCGTAGTTCTTTATAAGCTCCTCTATGAACTTGCCATCCTTGTCCAGCACTTCATCGCCCATATAGGGTATGTTGTGGAGCACCGTCTCGTCCTCGACCATGAAGTTCTGCTGTGTGGGCGCCCATGTATACATGGTGGGTATGGGAGTCACGGCATTGATCACACAAATGGGCACTCGCTGTGGTCCGCTGGGGTTGCCGCTGTAGCTAGTGATTTCTGCTCGCTTCACGCATCCCACATGCGGGGGATCGTACGGCTTGGCCTGCCACACCTTCGACTCGCAGTACAGATCCTGCACATTGTGGTTGTGCTCGTCCCTAATGGATTGAAAATGTTAGCATTCCCAGACAGACAACTCGCATCTCTTTACCGCCGCGCCGCCACCTTCCCGCGCTTACCAGTTCTTTATCCACGCCTCTTTTATTTCGTCTGCTCGCTTGTGCCGCTTTTGCTGACGTATTTTAAAGTACTCCGACTTGACGCGACGCTTCCACTCTGCCGGCACCTTGGTGCTGCTCATTATGCTAGTAAATAGATAGCAAATCAAACAGAACTAGCGCAAATTTTATGGTTTAATTCGCGGCGGACCGCCTTTTTCTTCTCTGGCTTCGAGTGTGACCAGTTGTTCGGCAAAAAGTGGTGCAACGGCGTGCCAGTGACAGTGCTGGTAAACGTAAAAGGTCATCAAAAACATAAAATAAAATTAAAAAAAGGGAAAATACTATGTAAATCCTGTCGAAATCTACACACAACTACACAAAATTACACCAAAATTAAGCTGGACAAATTTAAACTCATCAAATCGGCCACGAGCATCGAGGAAATTGCTGCAATGGAACCCTCCGCTTGCGAAGGCGAGTTGGAGTCTGCCCACAAAAAAGGCACGCCGCACTGACTATGTTTACTAACTATTAGCTGTTTTGTTGCTATTTTTAAATGTCCTTTGCAGATCTGAAGGCTTTCGAGAGGCGCCTCACCGAAGTGGTTCTATCGTACAGACCGCCGACGTTCCGATGGCGCAGTAAGTTAACATTCGTCTGGACGAGAGCAGTACAGTCCACCGGTAATAACATCAGCATCTTTCTTAGTTATCCTCTCTGCCATGTCGATGTGCACGGCCATCGGCGCCTGGTACTGGCTGAGAGATCCACGCACCACGGTGGTGCCCCTAACGGAATCCCTCTGGATACATCCAATTTTCACAGCGGCCACAGTAACCTTAAGTAAGAGCGATTATCATGTGTCCCCCCGCACCGATTAACAGTCCTGGTCCCCCCACCCAGTTGTACTCTTTATTTTAGGCATACAGAAGTTGGTGATAGCGCCGCAGATCATCACATCGCGGACACGTAATGTCCTGGGAGACTTCAACATGAGCTGCGATGATACGGGGAAACTGATATTGAAACCCCGCCAAAGCAATAACAACAGCACATGAGCCCCCGGCCGCTATGCAGACAATCAATTAGTTAATTCATCCAAAAACTATCTAACTACCTTTTCCCCCCCTGCTTTTTAGCTATATGTTCCGGACACTCTTGTTTTATCCACTAAATTGTAACGTATCCCCCCCCACCCCTACACGACTTCCATTTGCGTTTAGTTATAGAAAATTCATTGTAAACTAAAAAAAAAAGATTATTGTTAAGCTTAATGTATTTCGTTATGGCGTTGCCTTCGCTGCCAAATACAACCAACAAAAAGTCAAGCTGCATACAAAACCAATTACAATTACCTTTATATTGAGCAGCCGCTGATTGTGCAATGTCAAGTGTTTTTGGCCATTTAGAATCGGAGCCGGCCAGAGTATAAATAGTGGAGGCCAGCTCACTGCAGGGCATCAGAAGCAATCGTCTGTACAGCAAGCCACCATGAAATTCATTCTCTTGTGCACTCTCCTCCTGAGCATTGCCTTGATTATGGCTGCAGGCAAGGATGACAGTGGGTAATATTTGGAAGCACTTGCAACTAACAGGTTTTGCTCTCCCATGCTTACAGCTCAAGAGGATAGTGACAGGGAGCTGTATCCCCAGCACAATGACCATTACAGGGGTCGTTCGGTCCGCAGCTTGACAGCTGAAGAGCTGGAAGCGTACAGGAAAGCGAAACTGGAGGAATCCAAGACGAATGATAAAGTCGGCTGCTGCGGCTAAGTCGATGGCAGATGAGGGCCTGACAGACAGAGTCTGTAATGGGAGCCCCTTTAAAATCAAATAAAGAGCAATATTGAAAAATGTACATAGTTCCGAGTCTGGAATGTTAGAGGGGGACTAAGAGGAAAAACAATCATTGGTGTGGTTGATCTTGCGTGATATTTTTATTTTGATTCAGCATTCTCTATAGTTCTTTTCACTTCCATCCTATCCAGCTCTTATCGCATACATCCATATATATATAAATCTTTTATCTTTATTTAGTTTTTAGTTTTGTTTTTGTGATTTGCTCATCTCATATTCTTTTTTTTTGGTACAAATTGTATGCGTTAAGTTTTGCCATTTCATTATTAATTTTTGTTTATGTCTATTTTGTAAATCTTAAAAAGTATTATTATTGCGCAGCTTTTTGAGAATTTAATTTTTAGATTTGTTTTGGTTTTTGTTGTTTTTAATAGTACGTTTATCAAAGTTGACGGCGTGGTAATACTCGTATGTATGTATATAAATGCATCTGCTTTCTGCTTGTGTGGTTCCGTTTTGGTAGGCATTCATTATATGGTAGCATGTATAGTAATCAATTAATTTATGAATTATTTGTATCTTTACACTTTGTTCTACACTCGTATTCTTTTTTTTTGTTATCTCTCTGGCTCCGTTCATGTACAAAAAAATACTCTAGATTTGATTTAAAAGTTTTCCTCGTTAACTTTTTATATTTATAATCTCTCTTCTCTGGTTTCTTTTGCAGTGAAATTTAGGATTTATCTCATACCATTTATTGGGGTTTAAACTTTGCGCTAATTTGTCGTTTAGGTTAATGGGGGTCGCGGTTCTTTATTACTTAACATTAGTGCTAGATTATTAACTAAATATTGTTGTTGCTGTTGTTGTTGCTGCAGCTGCAGCTGCTGATATTTACGCGAAAGTCCGTCCGTTGTCGTCACGTTGCGGGAGGCGCGCTAAAGCAGTACGAAACTCAGAATACACGTGCTGGAAATGCATACATTATTACAAACAAAATAAAACTAGAGGCTGCCTCCTGGTGGTTGGTTGCACAACACTCGCCCACACACAATCTTTACAAATAATACAGAAGCCTAGTAATTACATAAATAAAACCATTTAAATCAAATACAAATACAAATACAAATAGAAATACAAATTAACGTTAATGAACTCTCTGCTTTTGGCCATCTATCCTATCCCCCTCCCCGCCGATATTATGCAGCCAGCATATTCCGTATGTTCTTCGGCGTATTCTCCTCATTCAGATGCTTCGTCGTGTAGCGCAGGGCATTGAGCAGTGGCTCCGCCTTGATGGCTGGCTGCGCCTGCAGCAGTCGCACACAGCCCTTTACATCCACGTGGGCGCCGCGCACAAATGCCCCAACTGGATGCACATGGTCGTAGAGTATGACCAGTCCGACCATCACACGCAGCACCAGCATTTTCGTATCTTCCCGCTCGATCTGTTGCAGCAGTTTCCTACAAAATATACAGATTTAGCATTAGTTTGCCTCAACTTGATTCGTGATTGGTGTTTGGGATACTCACGGATTCTCCAGCATTCTGAGGCACACCTTGGCCATGGTGCCGAGCGTTTCCGTTGTGTTTTGCACATCGTCGGCATTGTCGTTGACAAACTTCGATGTCGCCTCGCTCAGCACCTTGAGCATGGGCGTGGCATGGGCATAGAACAGTGACATGCGATTTGCAAGTTCCGTGCTGACCATCATGTTCTCCGTGGAGTCCACCCGCTGGCGACTGACGATGCGTCTGTAGTAACTGAAGTCATTCTGTATGGCGGGCGTTTTCATCTGTCAACGGGAAAACGGAAAGCAAAAACAAAACAAACAAAAAACATTGTTATATTTCAACTCAGTTCAGTGTGTAACTGTTGTCAAGATGAACCGGTCTCCGGGCGGAGGTTTTGTAAAATGTATATGCAGGAAAGTGGGTAAAGACTTCGCGAATAGGTAAATGCCAAAAGTTCCCACCATATCCTTTCGGCCTGCCTCATTCCCCAATCACTCCCCAATAGAGATGAAAACTCGAGCCGGAATCGCAGAGGTTTGTCTACAGGCCAGGACCATGATGGACGGCAACGCATCAACGAAATGGATGTACTGGAACGGGACTTTGAGCGGAATATAGTACGGCTGGAGAGCACTCTGGGATACCTGGATACTCGCGAGAAGACGATGGCCACCGAATGGATACAAAAATTGTGGGCCTTCCAGCCCAATGTAACGGAAGCCAAGGCCAGGAACGCCATTCTGTCCTACTTGATCATGAGCATTGACGACAACGTCTTCAACCGGGAGCCGTTCAACAAGTCCCCACCGTTCGGCACTCTGTCCGGCATTCAAGCCGTAATGGTGGGTACCAGATAAACACTTTTGTATTAGCTTGTTCTATAATCCGGAATCTTTCTGTAGCCCATAACCCAGAACACCATGTGCCTGGAGCCACCCAGTGAGGACGCCAAACGACGATACATTGCCGATTTATTCAAAAATTGTTACGATTCCGGTAATTTTCTGGCCCAGCTGCCAGTGCCACGCGATGGGGCTTTCGTTATATTCCACATGCGCCCAAATGTATAAAAACATTCACTCAATTTCGCGAGGAATTCAACCACCAACAAATTCCAAGTTGAAATTTAAATAAATGGCTTTAAACCAGCACCAACCAGCAACCACAGCAGTGAGCTTTTTGTCTGCGACTGGCAGCAGCTGCAACGTTTTGCAACACTGGCTCTTGTTTACCTCTAATTACGGTTGAGACTTTAAAATCTAATTGCTGTACGTGACAACTCAATTTGGCGACTTGGCGACTCTCCGTAGTTTTCCCCAATTCCACAGCCAGGCCCAGAAACACTTAAGTTGTCAGGGCTGCATATTGGAGCCGTGCGTGAGAAAACAAACTTCAGAGAGCCGCCGCCATGCCTTGCCACGAATTTCTGAGTCAAGTCGCCGTTGCGACTCATCCGTCCACTCACCTTGACAGAGGCGCTCGTCTCGAAGCATGCATTAGTTTTGTATACTATATAGAAACGACTCTACGTACTCTAAGCTATGGCGAAACTTTATATAAATACGTTATTAGCATAAATCGTTCTGAACAGTCAGAGATGATGCCGCGACCAGGACAGACCCGCAACAGCAGCAGCAGCAGCAGCAGAGGCATCCGCTGGGTGAGTGTTTGCATTCCACACACAATTCATATATATTATTCAGGGAGGAATATGATTAATCGTATAATGATTCTCACAGCACCTATCTGCATCGCTTCTACTGATGATGATGATGATGATGATAAATGCACTCTGTGTAACAAGTCAATATGCATCACCTTATGGCGGCAGCAGTCAGGCTTATGGCTACAATCTGCCCCAACAACAAATACAACAACAACAGCAGCAGCAGGAAAATGCTTATGCAAGCCCCCAGCAGCTGAACTACGCCCAACAATATCCCTCTGTCGCAGCAGAAGTGCAATCTCTATGGACGGGAGCTCCCATTGTAGTCAACGACAATCTATACAGCGCGAACAACAATCTGGGACAGGAACAACAGGAGCAGCAGCAGCAGCAGCAACAACAGCAGCGCTATGTGCCCATCAACGGCTATTATCGAGAGGATTACCCCGGGCGACAGTCGACACCATTTTCCGATTGGCGCTACAACAATCCCGAGAGGCAGAGGAAGGAACTAGAGGTGCCGCCTCTGCCGACACGTGCAGCGAATCACAACTACAACAATGTGCCCGGTTATGTCTACTACCAACAACAGGCGCCTACAGTTCAGCCACGGATCCAGCCTACAGCTCAGCCACGCGTCCTGCCGGAGTATAGGCCTCAATTGGGCCCCGAGTTGGACTCCAGCGAAGCACGCCGCGAGGAGGAGCAAGTGATCCACATCGGTGGCAGTCGCTCTTTGGCCAGAAACAACTATAACAACAACTACAACGATAATCAGAACTACTTTGCGCCCGCACAGCCCTGGCGGCGACGTAATTTCGAGGATAAATATGCGGAGCACTTTTCCAATTACCTCCGCAAATATCCCCAGCGCCTGCAGCCGATCTACGACACTCGCGAAGACTTTGTTGACAAATGAGTGCAAGGGAGTCGCCTAGTTTTAGATCATATGAAAACTGAAAGTGAATAAATCCAATAATTCCCCAGCTGCCATGTGGCGACCTGCTGCGCGTTGTCTTGCCGATTGGCTTGGGTTTGCCTAGCGACCCGCCACCTCTATCGGCAGTCGAGTAATCGATCTGGTTCCAGTTGAGCTCCAGACGGGACAACTTCTTGAGAGTTATCAGGTCCGAACGACGGGACACAGAAGTTCCCGCCAGGAAGCCCAAACTGTGACTCGCCATCGGAGCAACTTTCCAGTCAAAGGCCAGGGGGGGGTTCGTTTCTATGACTACACGTTTCTTACTAAGCCCCAACGGCTTCCCTTCCCCTGTTTGGTTGGTCGAATAATGCCAATAAAGCATGTCGTTAAAATGAAGCTAGTTGCAAGTGAAGTCAATAAATTTTGCAGCATACTTTGTCGCTGCAGGGTAGACAACGAACAGCAGAGGAACAGAGAACAGAGGCACCAGAGAGACAGCCGCCAAAGACAATGGGTTTGTCTATAGAGAAACGGAAGTAGCTGTTAGTTGGAAGGCACGTTTGAGCTATATACCACTGCATACATAGACACTTTTCCACTAGAGCAAGAGTGTGTATGTGTTCAAGTGCATCTGACACTTTGGCCACACAATGAACGTGCAGCATTTACAGCATTTAACATCATCGCCAGCAGCATCATCATCATCAGCAACATCATCGCTTCCCATCAAGAGGAGAGCCAGGAAAAGTTGTAGACATCAGAGGGAACAAGCCGACAACTACGACAAGGAGAATGACTTTGCGACTTTGCGGGCACCTCCCTAACCCAGAGCTGTCGCACCGCCCCCCACCCCACCCCATTCCACATCCAAATCGATTTGAGGAAAAGTTTTGCACAAGCGGAAACGAGCCATGGGAAATGCGGCAAACTCACAGAGATTTTCCATTAAATGAATCGATTTTATTTGGCACCCCAGACCCCAGACCAGACACAATAAGAGCCACACAGAAAGCTAGCTACAAGCTCTACAAGCTTCGATTTAACCCAGTCTCTGGTCTGGTCTGGACTGCGACTAGTTTGCATATCGACATAGTTGCTCACTTTTACAATTCCATCCGGCCATTGGCCATTGGCTGTTGGCTTTTGGCCACTTCGTTTGCGTGCGTGTCAATGTTGATGATGTTTCACTGTAGCAACACACACACACACATACACCACACCAGACCAGAACAGACGCCTGCCTGCATGTGGCCAAAAGATTTTTCATCAATGAGCCGCAGCACGCGCTGCTCCATGCCAAAGCAGCACAAAATACGAGTAAGTTTGAGCGCTATATAGTGGAGTATTGCGACTTACAGATACCCTTAATATATAGGGTTTAAAATGGCGCTAACAGACACATGCAAAAATATAAAAATCGATGGGTATTTGGATGTTGCCAATAGACTCTAGAAAGGATATCATTATCTAGAATTCGTGCCTTTCCTTTCACATCCTGAGCAACGAATCCCATTTACCCTGTACACTCTACCAGTACCGGGTATACATACTCGCATCAGTCAGTCAATTAAAAATGCAACCACGCGCACCCTGAGCTGGCGGGTACTTGGTTTGGCTTCGTTTGTCTTTGACTGTCGACAGCAGCCCCCACAAAAGGTGGCCAAGACGCAGACAGAGACAGCGACAGAGTCAGTGACTGAGAGACGTTTGGGCCCCAGCAAACAAACAGACGTTAAAGAAGACAACATTTAATGCTGGTTCTGACCCACGCGCCCCGTGTCTTGAATGTCTTGAGTCCCGTGGGCGTTCCGGCTCTTCCAAATATGAGCCACAGACATGTAACACCCAAACCCTCGACCCACACCGCAGCAGCAGCAGCAGCACTCACTCACTCACTCACCTTGTACTCATCGAATTTCAATACAAATTCTAAAATCTCGGCCAGCTGCTTGACCAGTGCCTGCTGTGTCTCCAAATGCTGCGTTGGATTCAACTTGCCGCCGACCAGTTGGCCCAGCAGCTTCGGCACAATCTTGTCCAGCTCCATGGAGTGCTCGTAGCAGCGTTTCAGCTTGGTCACCAGCGGCAGTACGGCGGACCAGGCTTTGCCCGTCACCTCGGGCGAGGGATCGGCTATGGCTTCGCGTATTTCCTTGCCGGCGCCCTGCAAAAGAAAACAGCAGAAAAGCTCAGTCAATACTTTAGTTATTCCAATGAAGAAAATGTGTGTTTGGCATGCGAACAATAAATGGGGTTTTGCTACGGGGGCACTGGTTTTTCTTGGTTCATTTTCCGTGCCCGTGCTCTCCAGAGCTGACCACATTTCATGCATTTGTTTTATTACAACCAGCGAAGCGAACTGTGCGCGAGAGAGGAGGCCTCTGCTTTTATTTCTATGCCGATGCCACATGCAACAATAACGATGTGGTAGCCGCTCGCTCGTCCATTGACCGCCTGCGATTTTTATCGATGCTTTATGATCTACTAAAATAAAGGAAAAGCACACACACAAGGCACAAACAAAAGCTAACGAACGACGGTCATTGCATGCCACTTCGGTTGAAAGGAGAGGGGAGTGGAGAGTGGAGAGTGGAGTGGACGGAGGAGTTCACTTTTCGTGTGCACTGCAATCAGCAGAGCAGCGCAGCGCAGCGCAGCGAAATGGCGTTGATTATTTCAATTGCTGCCTGTATACGTTTTTCCAAATACATTTTAAGTGGCAATAATAACTGTAAAGAATTCATTTGGAGATTGTAATCCCAATTGCCGGCCAGGCAGTGTCGAAGAACCACACAAAAAGAAATTGTTTAAACAAACCAAATGTCGTGCAAAAAGTAATCAGAGTCAACATGGTGATTATTTCTTTATAGATTTGGATTATTTGGCACTCTTCTAATATACTAAGAAGGCTTTTCAAATTAGTTTGCAGGCCGAGATGAGTAGATCACATCCTCATACTCAGCATTGGCAGTATAGCCCCAAAATCTTTTTTAAAAATTAAAAAACCCCGATTGATCGACTGCGTGCGCTTTCATAATTTTTACTCAGAATCTGCAGCGCAGATATCCATAAAAATTAATGGGTTGAAAAGAAAATTGTGCTACCATTCACATGATTTATGATTCGTGGTGATAGAGTGGTTATAGCTGAAGATATAGCGACTCAAGGGGATGGGATGAATAATAATAATTATAAAATTTAAATGTTAGTTTTTTTAGAGCTTGCTTTTCGGTGTAACCTTCCTGGTTTTAAGCCCATTCCAAGTTCCATTTAATTAAGGTGTCTCTGGTTATTTTTGCTACCTCCCCCCTGTTTGAGGTTGCGTGTCCAACCGATTGATGCCTCCCCATATTGGCATATACTAAAGGGAATTATATATAGAAAGAACCAACAACTTCGTCATTAAAAAATGCGAATTACGCACAGCTCAGTGGGCTGTGGCAAGTTCAAGCTCTAAGCTCTGAGCTCTGTGGGAGAGATACCGAAAGAGCTATAGAAAAAGACGCTGCCAAAGAGCCATAGAAAGAGGCGTTGGGCGTGTGTTTATTTTCAGTTTGCACACAGCCCCATTCCAGCTCTAATGTAATGGGGCAGCACGTGTTGTGTGTTTATAATTAAATCGCTGCGCATATCAACAAATACACCTCAGACATCAGATACAGGGCCAGGGGCCCTGGGCCACACACACACACACACACACACACACCTGCATTTCCTTTACATAGTAATCATAATAACAAAAAATATGCAACTGTCTGTAGCTGGAAAGCACAGGCACACAAACATTGGCATTGCAATGCATTTCTGATGTGTGCTGGCATCTCTTTTCACTCTACATAATTTACACCTGTCTGTAAGTCAAGTCATGTCCTTGGTCTCTGGCTGCTGTTGGCTGCCTTGGCTGCTGGATGCACTTGAGGCAGTCGTCCAGAATGTTTAACGCCCACAAACAAGTAAACAAAGCGACGGCAAACAGAAGTTGATGGTGGGATGCGAGCGGTGTGAGGTGTTGTTGCTGTCGTTGACTTGGCCTTCCCTTTCCCCATTTACTGGCATTGTCTCGTTTACGCCAGCGACTCTCTAAGGACCCTTGAGGGAGCATGGTGCATGGTGCATGGAGCATGGAGCATGGAGCACGGAGCTCACTCACGGTCATGCAACGGAAACTGCGATGTTAGCTCTGGGGTCTCTGGCATGTCCGTGTGGGCGCTCTGTTGCTGTTTACCAGCATGCCATACCACAGAGCACAGAGCACAAAGATTTCAGGCAGAGATTTCTCAAAGAGAGGAGGAAGCGAGATGCTTACAAATATCTTCACTACATATGGCCGAGTGTTCGAGGGAGTGCGCAGCCCTTTAAAGTGTTTAACTTCTTGTCCGCAGATTCTACACAAACAATTCTCTCATTTGGAAGAGTATTCACGGCTTCGGTTGCACCGTAAAGCTTCCTTTGTTACTTGCCATTTGTTGTGTGCATTTTAACGTGCATTGCGACAACATTTCAGAGCTAAAAACAAAGGGCAGGCACAGGAAACCCATCCTCCGTGCTGCTCCGTCCTTCTCCCTTCTTTGTTGTCAGCAATTGTTTGTTGATTCGTCAACGCTGCATCTGCAAGCATCTCGCATACAACTTCGGATGTGCTCCATTTGTGCCGCGCACACACGTGCCCAGTCTGCTGTCTGTTTGAGCATTTACCAAGAAAAGATTCACCCACAAGAGCACCCGCTCTGAAGCAGCGGAAAGGCAGCAGTGAAAAACCACAACAAACTTGAACTTGCATGACTCTGTTTCTCTTTCATGGTTGCATGAGAAACGACGAACCGTATTTCGTTTTGTAACTGTTTCTAGTTTTGGTTTTAATTAACAGAAACTTTAACATCAGGTCTCCCCCCCGCTCATTTCTCCAGCGATTGCTCATCATCATCATCATCGTCAGTGGCAAACGTTTCAGCATAAAAGCGCAATCAGTCAGCGTTTCATTTATACCAAAAAGAGGGAACCATGAAGCCACAGAGCCCCACAGCCCACAGCAGCCACAGCAGCAGTCAAGCGCTTACATCTAGTTGAATAGTTAATTAACTTCTGGCAGTGAGTGTGTGTTGCATCTGCAGCAGAATGGAAGTGTTTTTAATTGAAAATGAAATTAGAGGCAGCAATGCGGAAATGTGCAGAAATGGAGACAGCGCAAAGATAGAGAGAGAAAGAGCGAACAAGAAATTTGCACACAAAGCGATAGTTTGTTAGTTTGCTCTAGATAATTATCAATGACACTTGGCCGCAGTGTTTTGCAGCCTCTTAAGCCTGTATAACATCCATTTGCTTAACGATAACAAGTGCAACTAATTATATACTGGTATTAATAGGGCTACTAACATCAATGGTGATGTTAACTGTCAAGGATGGTTGCTCTCCAGTGCTGACAATGGCGAAATACAAATTTAAAGGAAGTTCCCTCTGATTGCACTTAAATCTGGAACTACTGCAGGCGCCGGCCAATTTATCGCCTCGTAGAGACCAAGAGAGAGAGGGGGGAGGGGGAGAGGGGGAATAGCTGCTTATCCAAACAGTCGCCTGTTGCTGCTGCCTGCCTCCGGATCGGACTTTCGCCCACAATGGAAACGCGTGACGCTAGTAAATAGTTTCTGTCATGTGTTTTGCTTTTACAGAAGGGAGGGACAGGAAGGGAGTCTGTGTGTGTGTGTGTGTGTGGGTGAAGTGTTTAATGGGATGCCACTAAAGTTTGTTGGATTCTCGCTGCAAACAGCGCCATTTCATTTCCATTTCAATTGTCTCACAGCAAATAAAAATAAAAAATCCTCAGCAAACTTTATTGCAACATTTGTGCCAATTCATCAACGAACTTTATCGATTTATTCAACTGCATCGATATCCAGAGTACATTTATCTAATTTCCCTTGGCTTGCATCATCAACATCCTCATCCTCATCAATGGCTGTGATTGCAATTCCCAGCACGTTGAAATGAATCAATGAATGAATGGCTGAATCGCAAACATAAAAAAACGAAAATGACACAAAATATGCCAGCGAAACAGAGACAGAGACCTGGGCGAGGGCACACAAATCAATGCAAATTTATTCCACGAAAAGAAAAAAAACAAAAATGTATTTAAAAAAAATGTCTCATTCAAAAAGTTCAAACTAAAGAAAGAGTAAGAGAGCAAAATGGATGGACTCTTTGATGACTGCTGTTAATTTTCCATAATTTATTTTTAATAAGAAAAGGCCACAGGAAAAACAAGTAACGGAATGGCAAATGAAAACAACACAGAACAAAGGAGGAGCAGACCCCAAAAAGGCGACAGCGCACGAGTGCCTGATCGAGTGACAGCTCCCACAGACGCCCGGACGCCTTGGATGACAACAACAAGCGACACGACAACAACGACAATGTGGATGATGATGATGATGGCGATGATGACTACAGCCGGGGTGCAGCTTACAATTTTCACATAGCGCCAGCGCAGGGTTGAGTACATAATCATAAATATTTCATAATTCGCATACCCTGTAGCCATGCCATTGAGTGCGGGGGTTATTAGGGTATTCGTATGCCACAGGCAGTCGGAAGCAATGCTGTGAGGTGTTTTAGGTTTTCACAACCCACATTAAAGCTATAAATATATACCCACAATCTGTCATCGTCTCGCCTTCATCTGCTTTTGTGTTCCAAGAATCTCAATACCAGGGGTATTTCCCTAGCGCAGCATGCTCCAACTATAGCCCTATTACTCAATTATGTATGCATGTAAACTTCTGTTTATGTTTTGATATCTTTCTGCCCCTTCCGCTGACGGGAACTTCTTAATTATTCAATGGACAAGGGACCCCCCCGCGCGCCCTTATCCACCCTGAATGTTCTTTGTACTCCAGTTTCAAAGTTTGCTATCAATGCCAGCCACATGTGTGAGTATTGCAAAAGCCTCTGCCTCTGTTCTCTCTGTGGAAACCGCTGACTCCGCCGAGTCTGAACAACTACGACAACCATGGCTTTAGTGAGTCATCACTACAAGCGCCGATCGTTGACCAATCGAAAGATACAGAAATTAACTACAGCGAGAGAGAGAGAGAGAGAGAGAGAGTGAGTAAGAGAGAATGAGGTGATTTTTCTTAGCTAAACTATGGATGATTAGCCAATTTGAAC